TGTTTAAACTCTCTTCGAGCAGAAATTCGCGTCGCGATTTCACCTGAACGAAATCGAACGATCGTGTTTAAAAATCGAGGCTCGATTTCAAAAGCAAAACGAGGCTTCGAGTGGACCGGGAACGGGAAAGAGGAAACGAAACTCGATGGTCCCAATCGTGTCGTATTAGGGATGTTTACGATGATATGGAAAAAATTTTTCACTCGTCAATTGAACTCGTTTTACTGCACGCGGAGGTTGTAGCCCACGCGTGTCCCAATTATTCTCGTCAATTACCCCATGCGTAATCGATCGAATGCGTTTTCTCCTGTCGATGGCCACCGAGTGAGAGAGAGAGAGAGATGGAAAATAGTAAGACAGCGTGTGAGACTCTTTAGAATGAAGCTGAGAGAACCACTATTCCGGCACGAATTTCCCTTTGTCTGCAACCTTCCTGGTCCTCGTTTCGTTGCCCATTCAGAACCACCTTCACCGCGAAATGCGAAGCTAATTAGCGAGTAAGGGATCAATCGTCGCGTTAAGCGAATATGTTGGTCGACGAGCGCGTGGCGACGACGTGATTAATCGAGATGCGCTAATACGAATTCGTTTTTCGTTAACCTTTATCGTGAGAACGTCCAGTTGTTGGAAAATCGCTGAGTCGTTTGCATTTGATTGGATAGAGAAGTACGTGATTGCTTCGGTTTCGAGAGGATGGAGTAGAGGATGTTTAATTGAATCCAGGTGAAAATTTAGAATTTGTACTGGTGATTAGAGTAAATTTGAACGCTTCTGATTAGGTAGAGGCAAACGTTATTTAGTATCGAATGCAAAGGATATTTTTGAAATTGGAGATATTTGAAGAAATTCTTAATTTCCTAATTTCTAATTTGTAATTTCCTTGAATAATTTTAAAAATCACAGACTCTATAGACAGATTCTATAGTTAACAAAGTAACTTGCTGTCGTTTTCAGTCAAATTCACGAATTCGAAGGAGTTACAGCTTTGTACATTTTAAACTGATCAACGAATGATTTTTTAATTGATTGTGGAAACCTTGCCTTTTTAGCTACAAGCAGTGAAAATTCTCAAAATTTAGCGTCAATCTTTTCAGACCGCAAATGAAAAAGAATCCAGTGACAATTTGAACGTCTCTTTAAAAAATAATAGAGAAAACGTGTAGGTTTCTGCTGGCGTCGCGTGCGTAGAGTTTCCCGACAACGGCAATTACCGAAATGCACGGCCGAAAACGTTCTCCCGTGACGAGAATTTTCGTGCCAAGGAATGTTGGCCAAGTGTAATTTCCGAAAGAAACCTACTTTTTATTCGTTAAGTGTTTCGCTCCTTCTGTGGTTCTACTCGAACCTAATGCTAGTGATAATAATGAAAGAAAAGAAAAGCGAAGTTCACAGTGTACAAAAATATAGGAAAAACGGTGTGAAACTGGATAAACGTTTGTTTTTGTGTGAAATTGTCAAGCCAAAGATAAAAAAAAAACACACGCACACAGCTATCGAATAGCGAACGATAAATATAACATGGAAGAATTTCATTTGGAAGGAGGCATTGTCGAGCGCGACTAACTAATTTAATGAGTTCACGTTGCAAGTAATACATTACTGCGTGTTCTGTAATTAACTTGACAGGTGGCAAACCTGGGGGTATCCGATAGATCTAATTAGACACAAGGGGAAATATTATTTTCTAATTAAACCGTTCGCGAACAGTGTTTTTCGCTCGAATAATCAGCTGGACATAGTTGATGAAATATTCATTTCGAAATGCAAAATGTGAAATCTGCCGATCAAACGTGACATAAAGAGTTAATGGAGACATGACTATTAATGTAGCATAATTCCCGACGGACGTAAAATGTAAAACTCTTAGTTTGATTGCGTGCACGACATTATCGCGTACTTTTTACTACTTTCTACGACAAACTGATATGCACTTTACTACCCGAACTAATTATTTTAATTTCCGCTGAAAGTTGTGGCGATTTTTCTTTTCGCTCCTCAAAATGAAATTTCCTTCCCTGCCGCTCTAAATTCGCGACGCGTGAAACAGTGACAAAGTTGGAAAGGAAAGCAAAGAAAACACCGCCGAATCCCACAGATCAATCCGAAATATTCGCCATGGCAGCGGAGAAAGGAAAATTCGAACTTTGGTGTGAACAAAAAGCGAATATTTCGCGTTGATCTAGGGTTTCCTCGAACTGTTAAAAATGCTATCTACCAAGAGAACCGAACCAAGTGTTTCGCGTTTCGTAATCTTCCTTTGTTACTTCTCGTCCGCTGTTCGAACTGTGAATTTTCCGCGACACTGGGAGAAGACCGCTGATACGGCAGAAACGTACACCGGACTCGTTAACCGACTCGCGGTAAACGCACGATAAAGGTTAAACGGTGCAGCAACGCCGGAAAGGGCTGCAATTACTGTAACGAAGGAACAGGTCGAGAGATGCGCGCGAAAAAAAAAAAAAGAAAAAACGACTCTGGATGTATGTATAACGTGTATTTACCTGACGAGAGAGAATTGTGGAACGGAGGACGTGAAATAACGGCTAAGCTCGCGGGCGAGTTACTATCATGATATTGTAAACGATGAATTGTATAGTTATTATGTGTGTAAGATTACCGTGAAACAAATTCAAGCACGTTGCAGAGGCGTGTACCTGGATGATGTTCGAGCGGTGTTCGATGGCGGCGATCGGTTGTTGTTTGTTCGTGGAACGGGGAAATCGAAAACGGTGATTGGAGAGTTTGTAACATGTTCGATTTTGCGCTTGTTCGAATTTTTTTCTTAAATTGTCAGCGACTTTGAAGTTAAATTTCGGCCAAGCTAGGTGCAAAGAGCGACGTAGTTTAAAGGTATCTCTCGTTTGCTTTTTTTTCAATTATTAGTGGTTTTGAAATTAAGCATTTGACGAAGCTAGATGGAAAGATTAGAATAGTTTAGAGGTTCAGTGGCAAATGGTAATTCACATTCGAATTTCCTTTTCGAAATGAAATTTCGACGAAATTAGCTGGAAAGTGGTTGAAACAGGTCGACGAGGTACAAATACATGAATAATCCTGGAAGGAAATGGAATTGAAACGTGAATGCAAAGAAAGTGTAATATCTTTGAAGTGATTCGAGGAGATCGTTGATGAAACGACATCGTTACTCATGAGTCGGTTAAATGTTCAGTACTGTAGAAACTTCCGTAAATGAACATTTCAGAACGATATAGAGGATCTACGTTGAAGGAAGCAGCAAAATTATTAATATACGTATGTATAGAGATTAATAATTTTAACGATACTTAGCTGTATGGCCTACCAAAAGAAAGAAAATCTTTATAAGGATCATTCAGAATTTGTACTGAATTATAAATGATGAATGACAATATTACGATTGTACATGATAAATGTGTCTATCATTTAGCATGTAAACCAAAGTAATCAATGTTACACATTTTCATTGAGAAATCATTTCACGAATAGCGACGTTCTAGCATTTCGAGTGCCGATCATTGTACACGTTGAACCGCGTTTAAACGTACTCTCGCTAAATCCTTCTTATTTCCTTACGAATCTCCAGAACGTAACTCGTATATAGTCTAAATTAAGTATAACTTGGTACACTAAGTAAAAGAATACGACTGTACCAAAGACACGGTATTTATTCCTACCTACTGATTACAATCAACTGAACGTGATCTCCCGGTCGTCTTCGAAGATACATTTAACTCTCGACCAAACGTAGAATCATTCCGTCGAAATTATTAGTTTCAAACCACCTTTCGTTCGAGCTATTTCTCCAAAACGAAACTGATGCCTCTAAACTTTCCGTTCATTCGCCGATATCATCAAAGGAAATTGAAAACCGCTGAACTCCGCTGTGGGAGTTATCCAAGTGTGTTTCCATTCGACAGCGCAGAATCATTATTCAGTGATTGCGATTATCACGCGTTCGATCAAAAGCACGCTCTCTCTCTCTCTCTCAACAATCACAACGATCGCGTGACCATAGTTCGACTAATTTGCGAACAGATGTCCGAGAAACGTGTTGACGCCGTGATCGAACAGTGAGCTCGAACCAGGTGCCGGGATGCCGCACGGTGTCCGCCATTCCAATTTGATTCCAAGGTGTCGTACTAATATATTACAGAGATTTAATTGTAAGTTAAGCGGCGGTCACGCACGGGCCACGTGGCGGGCGACCGGCCGGTTAGTCTCTTTTGTAAATGAGAATAAGTGAATGAAATAAATATATATATATACGTGACCGCGTAAGTGAAAAAGGAAACGTCTCTCGTGTTTTTCTCCGTACACTGTATTTTTCCTTTCAGCGTGAAACGGGAGGAGAAGAAGAAACTGCAGGAACATGGTTGCAATTTTTAGTATAAATCAGGTGTTTTTAATCGGAACTTTCAGAACGCTTGCAAGCTACATTTCGTTGGAACTGAGAGAGAATGATGTTGTTAATTTGTCGGTCGTATGTTTAAGTTAAATTAACATTATCGTTGTCATAGTAATTTTCAAGAATTTATCCAGCCGAGCTGTTCACTTTCCGGAGGTTTAGGTAGAGTCCCCCTAGAGCTGTCGTGGTGAGTCCTTTGGGATCCAGAACCATTGGGGTTATCGTTTTCTCACATGGTGTGACTTCGTAGTCCTTTATCAGCTGGAGGATACCGAGTTTCGATTGCATGAGTCCTAATCGCATACCTGAAAGGAGGATCGTTGTGAATATTAAGAGGGATTCTAGTCTAGAGTTCTATTAGAGATATTTTTTGCAAACAAACTATAAGACTTCTTGGTATATTTGTTCTTCTTAAAGCGGAAATAATCAAAGTTGACTGAATTATAAATGCGTAAGAATAATATAAAGTATGTATTGAAGAGAGAATTTTAACTAAGTAACTGATTACTCTGTTAAAATATATCTCGGTGAAATAAAAATACTAAAATTAACATCGATTTTTCTCTATCTAGCGTTCTTATCATTGTGTCAGGGATGCTTGGAAACATTTACTAATTGATCCTCTTCTCATCTGTTTTTATCAATGTCAGCCTAAACAGCGTGTCGTTTCACAAGCGCCAATGCTATCGAAATTAAATACAGATCTATCTGACAAGAGAAAATCATTTGGACTTAGTTTTTCTAATTTTTATCTTAACAGTTTCGGAGCTGCTCTATCTCTTCGAGATAACGTGAATTAATCTTGTTTTGATAAGCAAGAACACGATTTGGTACCAGAAAGTGTATTATACATAATTATTTCAGGAAGGAAGAAAGAAGACTGACTCCAACATATTTTCCCCAATATTTACGATAAAAGAAGATTTTTAAATTAATGAAAATTTTCAAATTAATCTCAAAATTTAAGTTCGCCTTTCAAATTAATTCCAGAATATAAATTTGCTTTTCAACATTTTTCGAAATTAAACTTACGAAAACGTAGTTCTGAAGGAGGACGAAAGCTACGGAAGAAAAAATTAATCAGCCTTTACGTACCAATACAAATGTGAGGTCCTTCGCCGAAGGGGAAGTAAACGAATTTTGGCCTGGTTTGTTTGGCTTCCTCGGTGAATCTGAGAGGGTCGTACTTTTCCGGATCCGGGAAGTATTGTGGATCGTAGTGCATACCTATCATCGAGATGAAAATTGGAGTGCCTTTCTCCAACACTAGATCGGAATTGGGCACTTCGTATTTTGTGGAGGTGATTCGATCCAAGAATCCTAACGGAGGATATTTGCGGAGGGTTTCTGAGATTACCATGTCGAGATATGGTAGAGTCATCACCTGGAGAAGAGGAATCGTTGAACGTCGAAGAAAGTATTGCACGCTTAATTGTGCCATTTTTGTTTTTTAAACGATTGGCGATGATAGACTGCGGATTTTTCTGCATTCGTGGAAAATGTGAAAGCACAACAATACACAGAATGCACGTAATAAGGAAAAATATATAGTGAATAAAAAAATTGTCTATTTAGCTTCTGTTTCTTTTTTAATTATATTCATAATAATATGAATTTGCATGAAAGTCCGCAGTCTAGTGATATAATGTCGAGAAACAATTAATTTCTATTATTCTACTGTGGCGAGTAACGAAATCATAATTTTTTAATGTGACATATGAAGATAATTGGAACAAATTTCTAATCGTACCATTTCGTACGTGATTTTGCCATCAGACTTCGAGAGAGCTTCGCGAATCTCGTGCCTAAGAGTCTTCTGGACATCGAGGTTCAGAGCAAGCTCGTACAATGTGAAGGACATCGTGGTGGAAGAAGTTTCGAAGCCTCCGGTAAAGAATACTGCTGCTTGGGCTACTAAATCGTCACCGTTGAATTCTGAAATGAAAACCTTCCTATTTACTCGATCATCAGGAGAATTTATCGTAATTTCAAATCCATTCTTCACAGCTAAAGCACAGCTTTCACTCTCATTCTTTTTCACATGTTTCATTACTGGATGTAAATTAATAACGATATAATTTACCATAATCGTCGATTTTTCACACCTGAGACTCTAAATTCTATTCAAAGTGGAAAATCACATTTGTTGATGCCTTCGTTGAGTATAAATTAATAATAATTTAATTTATCATAATCGTCGATTTCTCACATCTGAAACTCTAAATTCCGTTCAAAGTGGAAAATCGCAATTCCTCGTTCCAACATCTTTAATCGTTCGAAGAGTAGATTGACGATACTAATTTAAATTTACCAAATTAATCAAAAGCTGCGTAACGTTTCAGCTGTTATTAACGAACGCGAATTTGACATGTTAAATTACTCACGGAATCCCTCGAGAGTGTTGTCATTCTGGTGATTCTCCTTCAGCTCGATCAGAAGATCGATGAGATCGTTCCTCTTTACTCCCGATTTGATTCGCTCGTTGATCACCTCCCAGAAAACGGTTCTGAAGAATTGAGTTGTATCCTTCCCGAAGAATTTCGGCCGAATGTACTTTACCAAGCCCGGCACGAAAAATATCACGAGAAACTCCAAGGAACGACGGAAATTGTAGCCGAATATCTTCCTGCCTATTTCGCGGAACTCTGCGTTCGGGTTGTTCAGAGAATTCACGTTCAATCCGAACGCAGTGCTACCGATCATGTCGGTGGTGAAATTTGCGCAAAGATCCTTGAATTCCATCACTTTTTCGTGATCTGGAACATGTGTCAAAGCGTCGGTATCGTACGATAAATTTCGAAAGTTTCAAACAGTGATTTGAATCCCGTGCAAAAGGAACTTCAAAAAAAAAAAATGACCCGAGTTCGATCGATATTTAACGTTTGAACTGGACGTTGAATTAAAATCTGCGCAGAGGAAAGAGACATTTACATGAAATCACCTCTATGCATAAAATTCTGCTGGCGCATTTACGTTGACACTATAATGATGTAATTATAGATCGAGCGCGGTTATCGAGGAACACAGCAGCGGAATAAAGATTTGCATAAACAATGCTGCGTAAATTATAAATACTGAAGTAACTTCGATAATACAAATACATTCGGTATACATGTGTTATAAAAATTATTTAATAAACAAGATAACCATATGTTACAGCTTCACTCGACGTAGCAAATGCTATTGCAAGATTCTAAATTTGATCGAATTACAAAAGGAATCTAACGTCACCGATTATCAACACGAAAACATTCAACGACACGTTTACATAATTTTTGCATAACAGCGGAATATTATCGTAAACATGCTTCGTCACGATTAATGCCTTCTTTACAATCTTTCCGCGAAATTCCTGCTCCGTTAAGAAGGAAAATCGTAGAAATATTACAGCGTTAAGGGATACCGTTTAAAAATTTCTCAGGAAGCTCTCACATATAAATAATATTAAAAAAAAGAAAAAATAACACAGTATTCCAGAAGATCTGACAATGTCCATAAATTTTCATCGCTAATTTCTCGCGCATGGTTAAAAACAAACCTTACTCACCGTCCACGAGCAACGACTGGATATGGCGTTCCATGTCCTTAGCGACCAGCAGCATTAACTCGAACATTCTCTTGAGTTTTCCCGCGGTGTAAATCGGCGTCAGCTTCGCTCTGAGGACTTTCCACTCAGGATTCTTCATCATGAACAAGTTCGTGTACCCGAGACGATCGTTTATAGGATCCGTGGACGCGTGTCTGTCAGCGAACGCCTGAAAGTCCTTCACCAGGATCTGCTTCACGAGTTCAGGATCGCGAGCCAGAAAGTATGGCTTGTCGAAGATGTAGAAACCCATGTAAGGTAGTCCTTTGCCTTGATCGTACAGATCCTTCACGAATTCTGAGGGTGCCTTCTTCATCAGAAGACAGTCTGAGAAGTTACCGAAGAAGGGCGTAGGTGTGGGCTCCATGATACCTAGTTTTGTCCAATATTTGAATTTGCGGGTCGCGAACAGATAGGCGGCCACCATCGTGGACATTAAAATAAGGATGCCATCCAGGCCCCAGTAAGGCGTTAGCAGCGCCATTTTGAAGGGATCTGGAGAAGAAGAAAGGTTCGAGTAATTGGGAGGACGAATTTTTGAATATTTGCTAAATTAAATTTTTATTAAGTTAAGTTTCTCTTAAATTAGATTTTTATTAAGGTAGATTTTTGTCAAATTAGATTTTTATTAAATTACGTTTCTT